ATGTCCAATGTAATAAGATATACACTGTATACCAGATCAAAGAATGCAGTTCTCAGACTTTTGCATGGAGAAGGAAGCTATGTCACTCTGTCCCCTGACTACAGTGATATGGATGCAAGGAAATGGAACTGGGTGACACTTAGGCCAAGCAGTTATGATCTAAAATAAGAGGAAGGGCAGAGAAGCTACCTTAGGGTTCCAAAAAAGCAGTTCCAGTTTATTGTGTATCCTCTGTAAATATGAAAATATTTCACGTGAAGGAGAATCCCGTCCAGATGGCCTTTCAATCTCAAAGACATGGTACCAACTTCTTCTAACTACCTCTTTTTGCTAGGATGAAACTTGATTTCCCTCCAATGCAGAGCTACTTCCTGTTTTCTCTTACCTTCAATACCTCCACAGGCACCTGGGCAGGTGCAGGGCGAGTTAGTGGGCTCACAGAAATAGCCGGTGTAGCTGATGCAGCGGGTGCAGGAGTGAACTGGGCTGCCTGCTGCTGCTCCCGGCGTTCCTGTTCTTGCGTCTGTGCCCGCATGAGCTGCTGCCGGAGTAGAACCCGGGACGACATGTTAGGACTTTGAGCTGGGGCCCTTGGAGGGCTGGAAGAAGGAGAGAGAGAGAGAGAGAGACCAGCAGAATCACTTTGCTGCTCTGGCCAGTAAATTCTCCAAAGAAGCCTCACGGCTAAGAGAAGACCAGCTCCTGAATACAAGTGGGACATATTTTTTTAAATATCTGCACATTACTTACTTATATTAAGTAAGCTGCCAAGACTTGTCAGAATGTAGCAAAACAGAAATGCAATAAATAAATAAAGCAGGCTATTACATTGAGCATAATTAGAATAGACTTTTGTTGGATAAAGCTTTCTTTCCACTAATGGAGCAATGATGCACTCAAATAGTTTACATTGGAGGTACGTTATATATCTCCTGATGCCCACTAAAGGCAATTGTTGAGATAGGTTGTCAGTTTGCAGGCTGACAACAGCCGTCAAGTCAAGGACCCAGCCCCTGAGAATATTTTGTTCAACGAAACCAATGGATCGCCNATTTTGGCCATTGTACTGAAAATGCCCTGAAAATTGGTCTGTTTGGGAGGGCTTTTTTCAGCCCGTTTTCCGACTCTCTGGCACCTGCAAAGATCATGTCTGCTGGAAAACCGAAGAGCAGGTGGCGATGGTGTGCGTGCCCACAGAGAGGGCTCTGCCTGCTGCCTCTGCATACCAGTGTTGGGTTGCCAGTTATTTTACTACTGATTCAGGCGTGCTCCTGCGCATGTACCATGCTTCTGCGCATGCACAGAAGCGGGTGGGCTGAGCCTCCTACCATCGCTACTACCAGTTTGGCCAATCTGGGCCAAACCAACAACTATCCACCTCTGCTGCACACGTGCCATAGGTTTGCCACCACTTAAATAGAACATAACTTGATTGGTGAGTTTATTGCCCTTCCCCGAATACAGCCCTATGCTAACTCTTCACATCTGAACAGTTCTGAAGCCAAAATGTGTCAAGAAATTAATACTTGAATGGACCCTATCTCAAAATTTTAGTCACATGATTAACACAAAAAAGTATATTGCAAAAAATGTCTGCATAGATAACACAATTCTAATAATGTTAGGACCCAAGAGAGAAGATAATTACCTATGAAGGACTGTTCTATAATCCAGCCTTCCACAATTTGAGGTGAAATTGACATGCTGGCTGAAAAATGATGGGAGTTGTAGTCCAATACACTATAGAGCACCTGCTTAGGAAAGGTTGTTCTAAGTGTTAATTGGAGCTGTGTCTCTTTGTGTGAGATAGTCAATAACACACACCCATCAAAGCTAGGCTTGATGCTGCTTTTCCGTATCTGATAATGCGGCAGTCTTCCCTAGGATCAAGGTATTAAGGTTTAGGTTATTTGTATTGATTTTATGTGCTGCCATGCTGTGTCACTCATGCTCATATTTGTGGTTCACAAATTCCTGCTTTAAATGTCACATCCATTTCATCTCCTTTTGCCATCAATACTGCAAACGGTAAGGTCTGTTTATTAACCCCAAGTGCCAGCATTGTTGTTGGCAGCTTCATACACATGTAGACTACCAAGCAAATACTATACTTATATTTTGAAATCAGGATACTATTTATTTATTTATCTATGGGAAAAAAAGAGAACATAGGAGAAACATCAAATATGTAATCCACCAGAAAATTCTGCAGTATTTTCACTCATTTCAGTATGGCTTCAGCAGAATTTTCTATTGAACTACAAATTCATCTTTAACATTTTATGGTCAAATAATTATTTCAGAAAAGTGAAGAAAATGGTTGTGTGGGGATAACAAAAACATAACACCGCATGTGTTATAAAATATTTAAAAAAACTGTATGTGTTATAAAATATTAATAATAACATTATTACATATAGTATCTATTAATACACATTTTTTTTTACAGAATTTTGCTCCTATATCCATAACTTAGGTGGCAGGTTTTGATGTCCCATATTCTCTTTTCAGCCATGAAAGCTATTCCCAAGTTGTTTCCAAAGGCAGGGCGCATGGATCAATGCATTATGGAGCATATCACTTGGCTTGGCATAAAGAAACGAGAGAAGATTCTAATACAGATAGTCCCAACCATTTGTTTAGTGGTCATTCAAAGTTTCAACAGGACTGAAAAAAGTAACTTACNGTTTATTACCTGAACAAGATTGAAATCCATCTCAAATACCCAAACCTGTATCCAAATCACTGTTGGTGACACCCAGTTGATAAATGTAAATTCATGCATCCAGGCATACACACACACACACACACACATGTATTTTTGTAGAATACATCTATAATCAATGCATCTCATTATACTGTACATAAATGCACGTATAATTAATGCAGCTGGCTATTAAAGGTAAACGTTCCCCTGCACATGCGTGCTAGTCGTTTCCAGCTCTAGTAACAAATAACGGGAGCTCACTCCGTTACGCAGTGCTTAGGATTCGAACCGCTGGACTGCCAACCTTCTGATCGACAAGCTCAGCTTCTTAGCCACTGAGCCACCATGTCCCTTATCTGGTTATTAGGCATTGCCAATCAAGAGAAGACAGCTATGAAGCATGAGAATACAGGAAAATAAGGACCTAACAACAAAGTCTTTGTTAAAGCCAACCATTAAGAAGGGTAGGAGAGCCAGTTGTGGCTTGCTAAACTCACTCAATCAAGTAAACAGCTGGAATCAGGGTTGCTGCCATCTAGCGGTTAACCAAATATTGCAATGGCTGCCTAGTAGCCCTAGAAAGGGTTAAGAAGAAACAATGAAATTGAAAATTTGGGTGACTGAGCTGGAAGCTGCTAAGAGAGCAGTTTTTCTGTTTGAGCCCCTAAGCAAGTACTGTAAAATTCCATTTGAATATATATATATCTATATATATCGAGAGAGAGAGAGAGAGAGAGAGAGAGAGAGATTGGGGAAAGAGAGATCCATGTCCACATTCTGCCACATGCTGATAGTGATAAATCCCAAAAAGGCACAACTGTTAGCACTGCAATTTTCATCACACCACAAAAGAAGCTGCTTTCGTTGCTCGGATGACCAGAACATACGTACAACTCTTCACAGCTTCCTTCTGATTTATATGATAATTAAATTTGCTTCCAAAATTTGCTTCCGCAATGGGTTTTAATTTCTTCGCTCTCTGGTGGGACGTTCCTTCACTTTGGATTAAGAAGACCTCCCCTCTGAGTTTCCCAAAAGGGAAACCGTTCCTTTAAGAAGGCCGCCTGTTCTAAGAGAGGCCGGAGCACAGCAGGAGGAGGCCGAGATTTGGCTGGCACTACAATGCCTCGCAGGGAGCGCCAGTCAGCCAGATGCTGGGCACAGCATCACAATCCACACCTCTTGTTGTACATGTGGGTGCAATGCCCTGCACATGGCCTTGCAGAGTTTAAACACTCTGTGGATCCCCTGTCTGATTGCTGGATGTGTTTTTTTCAGTCTTAGCAACAGAATGTTGGGAGAATTAGCCGTCTGGTCCAGTTCCAAGATGGGAGAGAGGCACTGGAGACCCAATGGAGGCTGAAGGCTGATTGGAAAGAGGGTTGTGCCAGGCCTGCAGCCATCTTTTCTTTTGGATCTCTGGCCTGCCACACTTCCTCTTATTCTACTATGCATTTTCTATGATGGGAAAATGTGAGGGGGGATTGTATGGAGTTGGATGCTATGTAGCCATAACAACATTCTTTCTAGAAAGCCAAGGTCATCCTTTATTTTTGCATCTCTGCACCTGTCTGGAACTGGATGGATGGAACTGCCAGCATGGCAGTGGGAGATTGGACCATGGCATGGACTGGTGGGTGTGGGGAAAAGATCTTGTACTTTCAACTGGGTGGGGAAAACCGGGAAGCTTTCAGATTCAGGGTTTCCCAGATGTGTCAACATGGCTCTCTTCACCAACTGGAACTTTGAGCAATACTTTTGCCTCGGACTCTGATTTACTTTTGGATGCCATTTGGAACCCTGACAGGTCCATTGATTGACAAACAGAAGCACACGAGTTGTGATTCTGATAGAGCCGAACACATGGAGTTGAGAGTGGGGTTTTCTTTATACCTTCTCTTGGGCTTTGCACTCGAGCTCCCTGTTCCTGTGCAAGAACATGTATTCTATTGACTGTTGTCAGGCTCCCATGGGGCCTTTAGGGGTCTTGTTTGTCTGAGCTAAGATTGGTTGAAGTTTGGACTGCTGATGCAATGTGCTTAGGTGATTGTGCCACGTGGTAAACTCTGGTGGTGGTGGGTTACTCCTATTATGTCCTGGAGGGTCATGTCTTCATCCCATCCCCCTGGAGCTGGAAGTCTTTTGTCTTGGAGATAGGCTGGCCCAGTCTTTCTTAACAGGAACCAAATATCTGCTGGGGGCTTTAAAGGCTTCCTGTCTTTAAAACATGTTTCTCCCTTTTCACATCCAGGGAAATATAATATTCTGCCTTTTAAATATTTCCCCAAACATTTCATTCTTCTAGGAGAGGAGTAAGTGCTATAGAGCCAAGGTGGCGCAGTGGTTAAATGAAGCACTGCAGGCCACTTCAGCTGACTGCAGTTCTGCAGTTCGGCTGTTCAAATCTCACCGGCTCAGGGTTGACTCAGCCTTCCATCCTTCCGAGGTGGGTAAAATGAGGACCCGGATTGTTGTTGGGGGCGATATGCTGACTCTGTAAACCGCTTAGAGAGGGCTGAAAGCCCTATGAAGCGGTATATAAGTCTAACTGCTATTGCTATTGCTATTGCTATTGCTAACTTTTTGCAATAATGATGGGGGGGATTTCAGCTCCCAGAATTCCTCACCTGGAATTACTTGTGCCAGCTGGGGAACTCTGGGAATTGAAGCTCACCCATTCTTAAATTTGCCAGATTGGGAAATATTGTGCTAGAGAATGGGGCCGTTTCACTCTTCCTGGACACTACTAAGGGCACCAGCTGCGGCTGCTGCTGTGAAAATATTTGCTTTCAAAATAGGGAAATTTGTTCAGCTCTCGTCTTCCCACTTGCTCTTAATTGCCTCTCCAAATATTAAGCATGTGCTCACGCTTAACTCCCAATAATAACATGGGCACTGCATGGGAGAGGATTCCCCCCCCCCCCTACTCCAAGTTTTCCAAATTCCTACTAAGATTCCTATGAGTTCCTACAGAGTCTCCCATCTAAGCAGATCTGAGCAGGCTTAGCCTTTCTCAGTCACAGTCAGCTCTCAGAGATGCCCTACCGGTTTTACTACCGGCCTGCTTCGCAATTTACTGTGAACTGTGCAGAGCGTACACTGCTAAACAACATGCCAGCAATGACAGTGACAACCAGGGAACTGGTTCAGGGGCGTGGCCAGCCTGGCTGGCCCTGCCCCCATCTATTCTCTGCCTCCTGAGTCCCAGCTGATCGGGAGGGGATGGGGATTTTGCAGTATCCTTCCCCTGCCACGCCCACCAGGTCACGCCCACAGAAACGCTAGTGAAAAACGTTTG